ATTGTACAGTGGCATTAAGTGTCGAAATGTGCACCAATGTGCCCCTTCGGGGGGATAAAAAGGCGTGATGTTACCTAACCTAATATAAGTAAAAGAATTTCGCAGACGAATCTTGATTAGGTAGTGAGACTGACAGTATATGTTGTTTGTCCTGTAAAATACATGAAGATACTACCAGAAACTACCAGACTTAAGTTAAAGCCTAACTATTTCTTTACAAGAACACAATCAGATTTTATATTTATGTTAGCTAAGTTACTGCTTAGGTGCTGTGGCGTTTTTGTTGAGAAATACTTAAATATAGTATTCGAATATTTATAACTTAAGATTTATGTAGGTACGATGACTACAATGAAAGCACAAGCTATCAAATGATTTTGTTAAGTAAATAAAACATAACCTTACTTTTCTCGTCACATACCCAAGGTAAAGAAAACACCTGAATACAAAAAATACCTTCGAATGTTTATACCACATTGTTGAAAATATTTACGTACCGGTAGGAAGTATCGTATGTACCTAACATCACTATGCAAATAGAATATATTTATGTAACTGTCGAAAATAAATAAAAACGTATTGGAAAAACATAGAGAACGAACCAACTTTTACATTTAAATAAAGAATAGTGTTTCGACGCCATATTTGTTTAACGTTCCATTTATTATATTCATTCGTAATTTAATTTTAGAACAAAACTTTAGTGTACTGTGAATTTGGCATCAGATGGACAAATTGTAATATTAAACAATTGCTGCAATGCATAATATTATATTAATTTCATATTTTAATTAAACTTAGAATTTATAGTGCGTTAAAATGTGGATTTGATTTATATTATTATGAATGAATTAGTTAATGGACTGTCCGTAAAATAACAAAGGTATAATATTCAAAATGGAATAGATTTAATCGTCTAATTTTACCATACCTATATATAATCGTACCTATTATACTTTTGCTTTGATTTATGCGTGAGTTATAGTGTATTATAGGTCTATACTTGTTTTAAATTTAAAAGGTAATATTTTTCTTTATTTACTTTTTAGTAGTTTTAATCAATAGTTAAGATTGTGTATGCTTTCTTCTTGATTTTGTTTTGTCTTGTTTTAAATTAGTAATTAGGTACGTAGATTTAGTTTTAGCCCTAAACTACCGCAATGGAGAAAATTGCAATGATAGTTTTAGGTAAAAAAGTAAATAAATAACTATTGGAAAACGGGTAGGTATCTGAAAAATAGTAGGAAAACGCTCTTAAACTGTCAAATTATAATTTTGTCTACAAAACCGGTACTCGACGAGTTAAAATGTTGACATTTCTTTACTATCTAACAAATACATAATTAAGTACTCGGGGTAATTTAAAAATTAAATTTTATATTATAAGAATTTATATGACCTATAGTACGATGATAAATATGTTTATCTATGTATATTAGGTTACATTAACAATATATTTTGGCTTTACAAATTCGTAGTAAACAAGAACGTATGGCTCACACGCACGCCATATATCTTAATTAGTTATCTGTATTGCGTGCGAAACACAAGGTATGTGAACCCATTCATAAAATTATTACATAATTTATATCGTTACCGATCCACTTAATCGGACGCTTAAAAAGCTTTTCAATTTGATTAAATTTATAGTTTTTACAAGCCCATAACTTCGTGAAAGCCCAGTCAATAAAATTAATGAATTGAAAACCTGGATTACATTTGAAAATTAATATTACGCGCTTAACTTTACCGTAACTTGTTACGAGTGATTTCCAATGTGTATTATGTAGGTCGCGGACGTTCGCTTTACCATGTTTATTTATATTTAAGTAAAGAAAAACCTAAGTTCTTACTACTTTTAGTTTATTTCTCTACTAGCGACCCGCCCCGGCTTCGCACGGGTGCAATATGCATGTATTATACATACAAACCTTCCTTAAGAATCACTCTATCTATTAAAAAAAACCGCATCAAAATCCGTTGCGTAGTTTTAAAGATCTAAGCATACATACGGACATACAGCGAAAGCGACTTTGTTTTATACTATGTATTGATTGTGCGAGGAGCGAAATGTGTTTACTTCTTTGAACTAGATTTTGCGAGTAAATCAGGCATTCCGTCTTATTTCTATTTAGACTGACTATGTTTAACTAGAGAAAGCGTCTATGTAAATAATTACGTATTAGAGAGAGTATTGTTTGTACATCACTCACGTAATATTACTATGTTTTACAATTCGTTCATTCAAAGATATGTTTCCAAAATATTCCATACTAGCTTTTACCCGCGGCTTCGCTCGCGTCACAAAAGGATAAAAAGTAGTCTATGTGACATATACCAATACATACAGCGCCATCTATACCAATGCTTTTGTTTTCCCTCGGGAATATCAAATTTTTCCGGGATAAAAAGTACCCTACTATTTAATCCAGACTTCTAACTTTACGTCTGCAAAAAATCAAAGCAATCGGTTTAGTAGTTACGGCGTGAAATCGGAACAAACAAACAAACTCACTTTCCAATTTATAATATTAGTAAGGATTTAGTACATACCTACCCACTATTGTAACTAACCGTTTTATGAAACTTTACAGATTGAAAGTCAACAACATAGCAGTACCATAAAAATACATAACAATGTTAAATTCTGTCAAGGTATAGTTAATGCTAAACACAGTTTAAAATGTTATCTATGTCTCCGTTTTCTTCAACTCTTTATGAACTTGATAAATATAGAGATGTCAACCAAGTATTAAACGCGTCGGTTCTTCTTCAAAGCTTATCTTTAGTTCACGATCCACATGTGTAGGTACAGTGCGAGTGACATGCCAACTACGTCGGTGTCTCGAGCCAACAAAATTGCTTTGTCTCCGAGACTTTAGCGGAGCGCGTCCCGAATTATGTGGGCGAGAGAGGGCTTCTGAAAGCATTATATGTCGTGTTATTATTTTAGTTTGAATTCCTTACTGCTTGTGTAGATAAATATGTGCTACTAACCTTTCTCGTTCTACTGTACCTATAAGTAGTAAACTAATGAATGATATACTTGAGTAAATAAAGGTACGTTCTACGGAAGCTAATAAATAATTACAATTACAAGCAGAGAACACAAGCAATGTACGAGTTCAAACATTTATTTTATTCTTGTTTCATGTTGGATTCCGGAAATCTACCTACTTCTTCTTTACTTCCACAAAAATCCGACGTCGTGTTTTATTATAAATTCAACTCGTATGAGTAGAATTTTATTTATACATGGATAATATGGATAATTTAAACAGCTCCCGCCTGAAAAAGCGCCGCGGTGAATTTCCTAATTTTCTTCCATTCACGGAGCATCCGCCATCATTTTTATCTCCCCTCCCTGTCTCCATTTATCTCGGGCTTCTCCAACAGCGATTCGCGTTCTAACATTTTGTTTGTTTCTTACGAAATTGTTATTTCCGACTGCTTTCTTTTCTTAAGCGGATTCGTCTGTAACCTTTATATGAAAGCCAAGGAAATGAGTTTGCCGCTGAATTTTGATACTTGACCTCTTTTCAAGAGACAAATGCAATAATAAAAACAATTTGTCATCTTCAAAGTCACAGGTTATTTATTTATATCGCACAATGGGGTGTCCTGAGGTTGAGGATCATTCCTTATCCGTTCTGATATTTAATTATAAGAATCCTATTATAATCTTGCATTAAAGCATATTTTGAATGAATGTCACGACTAAATGAGATTTTAGTCGATGGTATAAATTATGAACTCGATTTGTGCTATAACATAAACACGTCAGTGTTAAACATTTCAGTGTAGGTGCTTGTGCTCTTGAACCGAGTTTATTATATTCGTAGTCGTCGCGTGTTAGTCGCCGTATAATTAATCGTGAGTTAGGTTTAGCTTCACACAAAGTTCATTTGTTAGTTAGAATGAGAACAACTACACTGAGTTGTATATTCACTAACGGACTAGTGAAAAGACTAAACTAACAAACTGTTTATTGAAATCAATGAGTTCTTATTCAGCTGGTGCCTCGACTAAAGATTTTCAAGCATTCGCACCCTCTCATGGGCGCAGGTGTGCTTGTCTGCTCTATTTTCTACCGTTATTAAAAATCTCGATAGAATTTCTTTTGTGAAAACTCTTGGAAAAAATCAACTTAAACTTGGTTGGCTGAATGATTTGTATGAAAAATTTGCTTCGGTCAATTTTCGTAAATCCTATTAAAGATTGTCGAATGTCAAGAGATGGAAACCTTTTCGATTCGGGTCCTTTTATGGCTTTCACAATTACTCAGGCATAAGTGATTAGATTGATTGTTGTTGAACTTGGGACACTGTGAGAACGTTATCCGCAGGTTGGAGTGCGCGGATGTGTGTGGTAGACACATATTATTTATTGGTTTAAGAAGTATTTAGAACATGTTCTTCGAATGTTGACGGCATTAAGTAGAATGAGCAATAAGTATACCGCCTTCTTTAATCATTTCTATGCCATCGACTTATTCTTTTTCTTTGCAAATTTTAGTCAATATTCTACTAAATCTCTATTGACTCACAATTGTGGCAATACAAAAGTTATGATCAGCAAGTAAATTGTAAATTAACTTTTAGTTGTCACCGTATGACTTGGCGTCCGACGTTGTCTGCTTAGAATTTTAACAAGACGATAGAAATCGGTAATCTTTGAAGCTTACTCTAATACAATGCTGTGGTGAAACGAAAGCTCGCATCTTATTTTAGTCCGCCTTAATAATTTAGTCACGCCTCTGACTCCCCAGGTAGAAAATTGGAAATTGTGTCATCCATAGCGGAGTTCGCCAAAGAATTATATCTTGTTCAAAGAATTCGCCGGTGCCGGTGCCTTGTGGCGGGGATATCCGTTTTATTAGCGCCATTCACGGCTGAGCTGTACCTTAATCAATTCCATCACTTTCTGAAAATCAGACGTCCCATCCGGTTCAATGTTTTATTTTGCCTTTGTTTTCAGTATCTGTTGTAATTGAGAACGTATTAAAATGAGCAGTAACCTCTACTAGACCTACGTAGAATTATACTTTTGGTAGGTAATTAGGCAATAAAAAAAATTCAGATAAACAATTTACACATTACGCGTTTTAACAATAATAACTTTCACATCCACTCTACAGCACTCATGCATAATATACATTCAAGTATTACCGTAAATTCTGTGAGGACTTTAAATGTAAATAATTCGCATAATTATGTTAAATTCCATTAACATTTTTCGTTTCATTGCATATTCAATTTAAATATATGTCATACTCATGACCGTGGATACTGAATGAATACTGAACAACTTTTCATTTTTCAGAGGCATGTGAAAAAACATTTTGTCGCTGGGGCGCCGAGTGTGTGTCCCTCGGGGACGGGCGTGCCCACTGTGCTTGCCCCACGACGTGTCCGACATCGCCGGCTCCCGTGTGTTCCACCGCCGGCAGAACGTACCGCAACCATTGCTACTTACGTAAGGAAGCCTGCGAGCGACGACTGAACCTCCGCGTCAAGCATGAGGGCGAATGTGGTAAGTGTCACACAACAAACAGCTAACTTTTTTATTTAATGATGATTAAATGTTGCTCGTTTAAATGTGAATATTCTACACAGACTAGGGTCACGATAATATGTTGAGATAACATTATTAATTTGCTCGTTATTTTAATGAAACTTGGTGCAACATTTACGTTACTCATGTAATTACAATGTTTAATGGACAGTAACATGCGATCTCTAACCATGTTTAGTGTTGAGAAACAAAGTATAATGAATGATATTATTAATATAGCCCAAACAAAACCTATTTATCATGAAAATACGTGACATTGCACGGCTATTCAGCTCAGCTATTAATTATTTTCATAGCACACGTTTTGACGCGAAAAATATCTGTTTTATTAATTTATTACATTGTAGCGTAGCTGTACCCGAAGAATATTTTGTAAAAATTTTTGGTACGTAATATAATAATAATTCTGATTTCTATCTGTTGTAAATAAAAGTGCAAAACTGAGACAGCAACAAATATATTGTACAACAGATAGAAATCAATATTATTCAATTATAAACATATTATATTATTCAATAAAATGTCAACATACACTTATTTATCAATAGACAGCAGATATCTAAAATAACAAATCAAAAGACCATTCAAACTGTGGTAGGCGATAAATACACAGCAATAGAAAATAAAATAAACTGTGAAAGTACTCAAAGATGGCGCCATAAGTAGCGCCACCCGTCACTTGGAGCATTAACAGTGTCAACCGTTCACTACGAGGACAGACATTCGATAAGATAAAGGGTCTTTCTGTCCTTAATCTCGTCACATTGCCAATGGATCCTTTCGACATCGCAATCGTCATACTATTTGTCGCTCAAATGTTGAGTCTTAACTATTTTGTACATATTTTATTTTTATCTTTAGTATTTGCGATTATTTTTAGTTATTTCTTGTTTGGAAGTGCATTAGTTATTATGTTTTGTTACAAGTTTTCATCAAGTCAACCCGAATGTATGTAGATAGTATTTTTCATGAATCCACTTGAACCATATTAGACGCAATATGACGTTCTTATTCAGACCCCATCTTAATTAATTTGTATTTGAAATGAACTGCCTTATTGGCCAAGTGGTCGCAAGTGCAACTGTCGGGCAAGGGGTCTCGGGTTCGATTCCCGGGTCGGGTAAAGTATTACTGGGTTTGTAAAAACCTCAGTAGTAGCACGGAGTCAGGAAATGTGCCCGATATATGGCAATAGGCTCACCCTATTACATGGGACTCATAACATAAATAGTGAAAAGTGGGTGTTACATTGTATAGTGGTATTAAGTGCCGTAATGTGCACCTCTGCCTACCTCTTTGGGGATAAAAGGTGTGATGTTATGTTATGTTGAAATGAGAATAACGATTTCCATGCTTTCAAAACCGGTGCGAAATCTGTCGTAGCTTTTGTACTAATTTTATATTAGACCCTTTCTTGCTTGTCCAATGTAGATGCTGGAGACCCATGTACAGGAGTAACCTGTCCAGCAGGTGCCCGATGTGTGGCCGCCTATGGCCAAGCTGAATGTAGATGTCCACGGAGTTGTCAACGACGCAAGCCTGTGTGTGGGACTGATGGAAGGGAATACTCCTCAGTTTGCCATCTTGACAAACATGCCTGCGATAACCAATTCAACATTACCATCAAATACCATGGAAAATGCGGTAAGTGTGAAAGTCTATGTTTACATGAATTACTACAATAAAATAAAGAAATTACTTAAATAATATTATTATATTGAAGTATACAAACTTAATGTCTTTTAATTAGATGAACTTTATACGTAACAAGTTTATTAGATGCTGATACTCAGTCAGTCGTATCTAAAGTCTATCCAAAGTTGTCGCAGTGTTGCCGTATGCCGTTGACAATTTTCTCACACTTTTGTCAGATTCATTCATAGAATGTTCTGTTCAAGTTGCAAGTTTGTTTGTTGCAAACAGTGTCCATGTTGCAACATAAGCAAGTTTATACATTTGACTCGTATGTTGGCACAGCTTTCCATTATGTTAATTGCATATAAGTACATACCGCTTATATAATTACTTATTCTCACATAAACCGAGCAGCTATGGTTATTGCCAGGCTATTATATGAGATAAAATGGGTTATTCAGCTCAGCTACCTCGGAAAATATACGTATTATTCATACCAGGAAATAATATTCATAAATAAAGAACAATAATAAAATTTCGTGAGAATAACAATCCATTTGATTATAAAATTTCCATTTTACTGCGCTCAGCAAGCCACAGTAATTTTAATGAGGGATTATTAATTAAAACATAATGACTTGGTATTGTTACTGTCGATCTTTGAGAGCATAAAAGAACTCGTTAAGAAGAGGTCTTTTCTTAATAATAGACGCGGAGCACACAAAAAGGGTCAACATTTCATTTTGCCCGTGTCAGATGACGTGACTGGCCCAGAATAAAATCGGGCTTTGTAAGGAAACGTGCGTAGAAAGGTGACACGCCTTCTGTCACTCTTCTTTTATTGAAAGAGATCCATCTACAGTTCGGTATCAGTCATTTTGTAACAACGTGCAACAGAAATGTATGGTCTTGGTCATGTGTCGAGGGAGTCTCCATACACATTCAAAAACGACGGTATTTTTATCTATGGTGTATTTTTAAAAGCACGGAAACATTTTCGTACACAGATGTGTACAATGTCAAGCTAGTAAAGGTCTCAAGAATGAGTGTCAACGTCTTGATATACACGGAGTGCAAATAATTAGATCGAGGCACCAAGAACACAATTGAAAACAAAGAAATAAAAATAATTTTCTTTTTATAATAAGCAATCAAGTTTCATGCTGCATATTATTATAAATTAATATACCAGTACCAGGACAGATAAAACAGTACTATTCAATATTTCTTGAATAATATTCTTTATTTAGGAAACAATAAAAATGATTATGCTTCAATTTTTCACTACTTAACGCAGAACTCCCCCAAAGGTCATCGACCATCCAGTTCTCTCAATAAAGTAGGGAATACTATTTTCCACGTCTAACGTTATTTATTTTTCTGAAGCTTTTTTATGAGCAATAAATATATTGCCGATTCACCTAAAAGTTATACAAACTTTGATGGGTATTGCGAAATATTTTTTCGTAACTCGTAAATTGGGTTGTCTGTTTTCTATTTCATAAAAGTAATTTAATCTATTCTACTGTACGTATAAAATGTAGTACATTTTGCTAACCCTTTTCACTAAACTTGTCCCAAAATATTCGATCTGAACTAAATTTGTACAAGACTGAATGCCCGCACATTCCGACATCCTTTGTAAGATTCTTTATTTACATTACTCTAGCTTGCTTCGGAGCTTTTATTAGATTGTTTCAACATAGTCTTGTACTCTTTTATACGACAGAATTGCTGTACATAAGATGAGAACTTTTCCTCTGACAAAAATAAGTCTTCTTTATAGAGTTCCTTAGTTTACAACGTGGCCTTTGATTGCATGAATATCGTTAAAACATTTCTTTATAATAATGACACTTTGTTCTTTCGTTTTTTTAATAAACCATTTTTTTACAGATCCCTGTTCGGAACATGAATGTGCTGACGGTGGTGTTTGTCAGTTAAATGAAGCACGAGCGCCAGTCTGCAGATGTGGTCCACCATGTGATCTGTTGGTGCGGCCTGGCTCCGCTGTGTGTGGCTCTGACTACAAAGACTACCCGAGCGAGTGCGCCTTGCGCAGAGAGTCATGTAGAACTCGTCAGCAACTCACCATAGCATACAGAGGAGAGTGCGCTTCAGGTATGTAGATTACACTCATTAACTTTTAGATAATTGTTACTTCATCTCTGAGTTTTAAAAGCATTTAAAATAAATACTCATTCACTCAAAACCTAGTCTTCTAATCTAAAATTAAATCTTTATTCGGAAATGTAAAGAGCCAGCTTATTTGTATCCCGTGTTGAGGAGACATTTTGTCCTTAGAAAAGTAATTGGGTACGAGCATCGAGGCGCCAAGTCGACCCGAAACAAATTGTGGCAGGAATGGAATAATTTCGTTACCTAGTATTAAAGTTTTAATATTACAAGTTCTGCTTTCTCTCGCTTTCTATCCATCAGAGTTAACTAACTTTTGTGTTAAATTGTTCGTAATAAATTTATGCCAGGGTCTTTGAGATTTAATAGATTTGAAAGCTGTCACGGACGTGTTTAAATTGATTGTTGGAAATATTTTGTTAAATTTGTAACAGCTCAACACCCATGTGACTCGGTCAAATGCGGGTCTCGCGAGCATTGTACACTAGATGCTCGCGGCGTGGCCGTGTGTGGATGTGGCGCGGAATGTGAGGCGGTGGTGCGGCCCGTGTGTGGCTCGGACGGCCGGACCTACGACTCCCGCTGTCACTTGGACCGCGCCTCGTGTCTAGATAATCGAGATGTACGAGTTGCTTACACAGGACCCTGCGGTAAGTTGAATGTTTTGAAACGTAAAATCCTGCTGGCGAATGTGTGACGTGGTTTAGTCAAGTTTGTGGTTTGGTTTCAACTTTGTTTGAACTTTAGCTTACGTTATTCGGTCAACCTTACTGTCCCACGTTAAAATTGCAATCCTGACAAGTTTCTCACTTTTTTTAAATTGACCTATTTGATTTTAATGCAATACTTAAAAACTTATAAAAACTGGTTTATTTTCACTGAACGTCAAGAACATTATAATAAAATAATACTTAAACATTCTGAAATTGTGACAGGTGTAGAAAATCCGTGCGCTCGCGCTTCATGTCCGTGGGGCGGGGCATGCGTAGCGCGAGGTGGTGCAGCTCAGTGCGCCTGCCCGGTGTGTGACGCCACGCTGACCCCTGTGTGTGCTTCCGACCGCAATACTTATGGATCTGAGTGTAAAATGCGCATGCACGCCTGTCAGGAAGGCGTACCTGATGGAGAACTGAAGGTGCTATACAATGGAACATGCCGTGAGTATATCGACACCTAATGACCTATATTACTACCCAAGATTACATAATATGTTTTTGGTATTTTAACTTGTTAATAAAGTCACTCCAATGTTAAGAATATTCTACTCATGTTTCATGTAACATGTACTAATTAAATATAATATTGCAATTAGTTTCAAAACAATATCATGTTAACAATGTTACATAACCATTAGGTAAAGTAGAAGTAGTCGTGTATTGTACCTGGTGTGTACCTAACCAAGAAGTTTCTAGGCACAGAATGGAACAGCTCTTTGAACTAATTTATTGGAAGAACTTCGCTAATTAAATATAGACAACCTAAATAAAAGTTAGCAAGTGTTGTTCAGAACAAAGCTTATCTTTTCAAAGTATAATATTTACGATTTAACAATTTGTATGCTCGTTGGTGATTTATTTCTTTAATATTTACGTTCCAAAGACGAATAAAATACTTCTATAGGTAATTTAAATTAAAATCCCGTCACCGCATTGCCGAATCCGGAGATGAAATTCGGAATTTTTTGAAGAAAAATTGCTATCAATTTCCCGTGATGAAAATCTTTTTTCTTTATGAAATTGTCAATAAAAGGCGAACGACATTCTTTTGCAATAAGAAATATTTTGCGGTGTTCAAGATTTTGCCTGAATTATTTATGGTAAAATAATAAAATATAGGGAAATAAAGTGATAGAATTTTAATGCCAGATAAGCCGGCGCACGAATTCAAAATGTTCTCGTAACAAAACGGGTAAAATAGAAAGTGTTGAGAAATTTACTGCTGGAGAGGGTGTACTTATAATTTAATATTGAAAATACATTGTTATCGGCGCTATGGAACACTCATATTATCGCTGTTATTCTGTTAGCATGTAACGATTTATATACGTTGATATTAAATATGATTTTTAATGAAAGAACTCGAGAGTTGGCTGCAATGATGGTACTCAGCATTTAATAAACCAGGCTACTTTTACATGAACACTCATTTATTTCCGCTGAAACTCATTCAGTTCAATTTGTTCGCGGGACTCAACACAGTAATAAATTGTACGTTACTCTATCATTGCGCACTGAAATGTCAATTAGAGATTAAAATGGCTCAATGGAAATTGAACGCGACGCGGATTGATGAGCAGAGAATACGGATTAATTTTATTATTTAAAGGCGTCCGAGCCTGGCTATTAATTATTGAAACAATATTTGATAGAGTCGTTCACCGGCGCTTAGTCACACTTTAATGGATGTTCTTTCAAAGGGTTTCAAGCTACCACTTGTCGATAAATCACAAAGGCCACTTTATAAAAGATTACAACTAATCGATCATTCTGATGGGAAATTGCGTTAAATAATATTTATGAACGCTCTTTGATTTACGTCTTGTTTATTTTCTTTGCTAAATAATAGAAAATAATACCTTATGTAAAATAATTACATAAGTAATCGTCTACTGATATTCAAGATTACTCGTATATGTTTATTAATTTTGTTATGGAGCGTAAAACATTAGCGTCTAATTTTTACTTGTCATTTTCTGGTGGCCACCTCAAAAGCTGCTTCACAGTAGTATAATATAATAAATATCCTAACAATAGACAACACCGCTACTTTGTACATTGCACCACACAAAGGAAAATAGCCTTTATTGTGTGTGTTAAATAATGTCTTATTAGACGTGTATTGTTTAGAGACGTGTTCGGACATCGTGTGCAAGGGCGGCGGCGACTGCGTGGTGGACGCAGACAGCGGCCGGCCCATATGTCGGTGCAACCACAACTGCACCGAGGCACAGGTATTGTACTGCTAAATTTACTGCACCTGTATTTATTACTCCTTCGACTGGCTAGCCTAACTTTGTAAGACATAACATAAATACCTCCCCAACAACTATCTCTTGCAGAATTATTATACTAATTTGTAGTCGTAGTATCCAAACCGTTCAGTTTCTCTCTGTATTAAATCTTAATTGTGGCATCTTCTTGTTACTATTTATATCGGGGTTCAGGTCAGGTTTTCTTTCTTGATAGAATGAAATCTCATGACGTCATATTATTACAAACTCCATTCTTGTTGTGAACATATGTATTCTTTTGTTATTTTGGTGTTTAAGTTGTTGACTACATTCTCATGAAACTGAACATTTTTCACAACACAAAATTTCAAGTTATTTGTCTCCTAGCAATTAATTTTGGCGTATTTAATTGCAATTTGCTTGCTGACATAATGTTTATGTAGGATTAAACTCTCTAGTATGTTTGAAACCGCAAGTTCCTTTCTATCTACGTATTGGCTAACTGCACAGACATAATCAAAAGCAAATACCATTAAGGTTTAGCAATGACTAGTTACCAGGCGGTTAACTGTACCTGCAACTCATTTAAGTGCCAAGTTTACACCTCAGGTTACTAACAATAGCTAGTTAAGACGAATACTTTCTATTATTATATATTTTATGTATATACCTACGTTAATAAAAAATAATTGAATGTAATATCCGTTTTTCGTATATTAAAAATCAATAAATAAATATTTGACGATTGAATAATTTTATAATTACAGTAAAACAGTTTTTATTGAGTTGCAAATGGTTGAAATTACATATGCTTTTGATGACAATTTCGGTTCTTAATTATGCTTTAAGTTTGACAGAACAGTGGGAGTCACCAACATAATGTATCAATGTTTTTGCACACTGTTACTCGTATTAATAACTAGGGTCCGTAATTATAATGAGAAATATATTCTATTGTTTACACTAAGATTTAAAACTATAATCCATCACATCTCTATCAAAATGAAACATGAATCTTACGAGTTAATCTAATATCGATAAGTACTTTAATTCAACGACGTAGATACTCGATTTAATAACCTCTTGAGGGTACAGTTTCAAACCAATCAAGTTAAGCCGATTTTAAACAATACTCGGAAATAAGCCACCAAATAACACATAATTGGTGAAAGAGAAGCTGTGATTATACTGGTTTGGTTTGGGAGCCGGATCATAATAAGCTTAACAATAATATCTCTCAGATATCTCCATTATTTCTTAATTAAAATGCTCACCTTGTTTCTTGAATTTGCCAATTAATTAATGCTTTGATGTCTATCAAAAAATTGAGAAATCATAAGAAAATGCTCGAGTCCAAAGTTTAGCAAGAAGATAAATGAAAGTCAGCTGCCTGGTCCAAGATAAATAATAGATTTGTGAGCCGTAAGATTATTCTAGCTTATTTTCTTATTTCTACGAAAAGATGCTCAGATGGGTGGTCGTGGTTTCTGTCCTAAATTGCCTTATGAGTTACGTTTTCGCGACTTTAGTACGTTATGGATGGCGTCTCTTACATTACCAAAATTAATGTCGTAGCGAATATTACGGCCTGGTTTTTCTCTGTCAGAGTTTTCTGGGATATTATAAGGAAACGTAGAAGAAGGAAGATATAGCTGCTAGAAATATCTGGCGTAATCCACTGTGATTAATACAGTTCTATGTTATTTTCTTTCTAACCTTTGGATTTGAAATGTATTGTTTTTATAATAAATATTTAATTGATTCTAATTTTATTTGTAATGGTATTTTGGTCATGACTTATCTTAAATTTGGTCAATGTTTGTTGGCGACAGGAATCAGACGTGGTATGCGGGAGTGACGGGCAGACGTACCCGTCGCAGTGTGAGCTGGACTCGACAGCGTGTCGGGAACAAACTGATCTGCGGCTCGCCTACAAAGGCGATTGTGGTAAGTCAGCCTCATTCATAATTTGCTGTTGTTTTAAAGCTTTATAGTTTTGCTTTTTATGAAAATTGTAAGTTAAAAGGCTCAAATAAAAATAAAACAAAGCATAACTCAATCTATTATATTCATTAATCAATTGATCGCGAAGGCACACTCGTGTGTTAGTTTGATTTTAGATTTTTAGTTATATTGGAATTTTGAACAATTTATAAAGCCTCTCAAGCTTCTAATATGAAATCACGTGGAATTAAAGCTTAAACAACCACTACTTTATCGTTATTAGTTTCGTGAAAGTTCGTACTCTAAAATTGGTAAATTGATATTGATAACAACCTTTACAATTTATCAGAGTAAGGAATCTTTAATATGTGTGGAAATAGCACAGAACAAACGATCTTTTGGGGCACTGAACTCGTGAAAAGATTTACGAGTGTTTACTGTTTAACTCAGTTTCAAAAGGTTTGTACACAAAATACTGTAGCTAACAAAGTTAGCTATTTGCTAAACTTTATACGCGATTCTTTCAAAAAGGTCACAAAAGGTTTTACTAACAATACACGTTGAGCACTAATCCGCAGGTTTTAGATTAGAATTTTCCAAAAAATGTGGTACGAATAAGATCAATACACTACCTTTCATATACGGAATATTTGCTGAGAATTTTTAATTAATAACTTGTCAGTGTATGGGGAGGAGTTTAAAAAGCTTTTCGATTTCATTGTTTCGGTTTTGATGATATACTTTTACACACAATTTCATATTCTCTTCGAGGTCCGGACTCGGACGTCAGTAGTTGACACGGAGCGATCTGCCGTCTGCCCTTCATAACTCGCCAGAGGTGATACGCTATCCTTTGTCAACCGGGTCAACCGCTGTCAGACTTTTAGACTTCACACTACCCGTAACAAATGTCATAAATCTTCGTATGACAGCCGACCACCGACAGTTTTACGTGTTCACAGAAACAATGGCCTAGGGCCAATTTCTCAATCATTAATTAATTTCCTTACTGTAGAATCGACAGTTGACTGTTTATAGTATGGAAGAATTGTCAAATATTATAAACTAGCTTCTGCCCGCGACTTCGTACGCGTAATCCCATTTTTTCCCGTCCCCGTTCGTGATTTTCGGTAATAAGTAAAAAATAAGTATTGGTTAAAAAGCATCCTATGTCGGTTTCCTGGCTCTAAGTTACCTCCCTACCAATTTTCAGCCAAATCTATTCTGCCTTTCTTGAGTTATAAGTGGTGTAACTAACACGACTTTCTTTTATATATATAGATTTAATTGAGTATTTAAAATCGGCCATTAAAGAAGAAAGCAGTTTGAAATTACAAAATAAACCTGCCGCTGGCTATGTAACCGACCGTTGAATATTTATTTAAAATTAAAAAAAAATATTTGCAGAAAATATTACGCACATGTCAGACAAATTAAGCAATAAATTATTGAAAGCTTTGTACTTTCTCAGAGATTGTCGGCGTTTTATTGGAATAAAGAGTTTTTTATGAAGCTGTGATAGGCTTAGGTATTGCGCAGAGGGATTAGAGATCGATAGCGGATTAAAGTCTCCCCATAACGGGCGTACCCGAAACAGAGTGAGATTAGGTAAATCGCCTTTGTGATGTGCATCCTCGGGTTACTTTATTAATCGCGGGAGGTCGGCGTTGGAATTTAAACTGTAATCCCATACATTTGTATAGGGGATCAAGGAATCAAAATAAAATCTCTTTTACTTACTAAAATCTTTTGAATTAGTTATGTAACTTGTATTATGATTTAAAAGCGTGGAATATTTTATCTTCAACACGAAGTAAATACCGATACATGAAGCAGATATTGAGAATGAAAAGACTGAGATTCTATTGTTGAATTTAATTTCCGGAGGCAACTTTAATATGGGAGTCAGCGATCTAAATGGTACCAAATCTCGGCAATAAAGATTGATACCACTTCAGAGTTTTCTAGATTTATGTGTGCCCGCTCTTTTGATTTTATTTTTATACATTTAATTTTATACTGTTGTGTAATTTCGTGATGTTAAACCGTACTTTATAATATTTTTCTTTTTTTTTTTTACAAAGACAAAGACAAAGACAAAAATTATTTATTTGCAAAAACACGTGTTAAATAATAATACATCATAAATGCACATTATAAGTTGTACAGATGAGCAGTGAGCATAGTATCAACATGTTTGACCATTTCTGGTGTACAAATGTGGAATATAATATTAAATCCAATTACAACAGTTATTAAACTTTTAAATTGTAACATTCCTATAAGAGACTCAAACCTCCTGACCAGGGACAACAAAGAAAAATTACAAACATTTGTCATTTACAAAGTCATGAACACTATAATAGCATTTATTAACTAGTAGTTTTTTCAACGCTTGTTTGAATAAGTTTAAATTTAATTTAATAATTTCTTTAGGAATTTTGTTATAAATTATGGGAGCCATACATATCACGCTTTTATGCATTAGTGCTGTTTTAGATGGGTAATACATAGTCGATTGTTATCACGTCGATTTCGTTTAAAGATGATTACCGGGTAATACCTATGTTGTGTAGACACTTTATTTTTCCAATTTCGCATTGTAAGTAGATGGGATATGCAAATAAGTTTTCTAAAGTTTATTTTTAAACAAAATTGCATTTTGCTGATACATAATAGTCTTAGGCAAGACAATAAATGTTTATACCTGTGCAGAGGTCACGTACTACGCGTTAATTTTATATTCAAGTGCCAACGTTATACAACAATAATTGTTCTTTTCATAGCAGAACTATTAAAATATGAAAGGGTACGTACACAGTAAAAATTGTGGTGTAAACTTTTATATACCATGTAACTAGCAACCCATTAATTGCGGTTTCTTGTAAAGATAACGAAAGTTCAGTCCTTTTCATTTTAAGCGGCAGATATTGTTTTGTCTACACTGTTCCTACTTTAAAATTTTATTACGAAACATCTCCTTCCATTTTCCGTCCGGTATTAATCGACCGCTTTCACAAGACTTTCATTTTGCGGAGAAGTGGTAAACAATCGTTATTAAATTTGCAAGGGTGTCTCCCGTCATCCTTCAGCGAGAGACAGAGGAAGCCTAATTTTCCTTAGCGGTAGAATGAGAGAGGTATTACAGGAAGCACACAATTGTCCAACGTAATGACATTATCTGTTCAGCCATTCGTTTCTCGGAAAACTTCAGCCAGGGTGCTTACGAAGTCGTAACCTTGCCAGCGCAGACGAAATAAAACTCGCGCTTGTATTATTATTTACAGCTCACGCGACGCGCTCGTATTGACTTCCTCAAAGCCCTGTTTATGTATTTAATTAAAGTGGAATAATGTAATACTGATGCGTTTACTTATAAGATATTTCTTCTACAGCTCTGTGTGAAGGTGTTCAATGCGCTTTTGGAGCTCATTGTGCTGCTGGCGAGTGCGTGTGTCCCACGGACTGTACCGGTGCTGCCCGAGAACCAGTCTGTGGCAGCACAATGCAAACTTTTCCGAATGAGTGTGAACTGCAAAAGGCCGCATGTAGGCTACCTCCGCCAGCTACACTACACGTCATATTTTATGGAGACTGCAAAGACAGACTGGCCGTCGTACCTCCTATAGCTATGAGTACGTATGAAGATACTAGTTTTCGTTTGACATCTCTTCTACTTATTAACCCTACTAACTTGAAATTAACTAAAATTTATCATTTTTCCCAAGTTTTATTCATGTAGTTCTAGAAATGGTTAAGTCAAAGTAAAAATTGTTGACCCAGCTGAAATTATTTACCTACTATCGGACCAACATCAACCCAGTTGTGAGCAGTATTTTCAATATAGCGACCCATCTTCAATCAATTAACTAACTTTCCGCTTTATCGCTCGACTAACACGCAAATATTTGGGCTGGGGTGTAGCTACGACCGCGATGACCACCACCGAGGCGGAGGATGGTTCCACAGATGTGTGGAGCGCCACTGACTTGGACGGCACGGCCAATCCCTCCGCTTGTCGGGATATTCGCTGTGATTTCGGAGCCAGTTGCGAAATTGGCTCTGATGGCTACCCACGTTGCTCCTGCCTTTTCGAGTGTCCGCACGAAACAGAATACTTCCCCGTATGTGCCTCAGACTTTCGACTTTATCCTAGTCTCTGCGCTATGCGAAAAGAGGGCTGCCAAAAACAACTTGAGTTGAGACTTCGACCGTTGGATCTTTGTAAAGGTTTGTTTTCTTGCCTTCTAACACACACTAACAATTAATAACTGTATAATATGAGTAGAGCACTATTCACATATCATGTTGGGCAATGAATTATTGTTAACCACAGGTATGGAAGTAAGACCCTGCGGTAATAATAAAGCAATGGTTGACCCTACCACTGGCCTCGAAATAGACTGTGGTAACGGGCCGCACAGACAGGATTGCCCCGTTGGCAGCTACTGTCATATCACGCTGACAGCGGCACGGTGCTGCCCCAAAAGTGAGTATCTCGTATTCACATACAAAATAAATAATGCAAAACACCAGGTTCATGTAGTGCGCACTTGTTCTAATATTTTTTTAAGTATTCATACATTTTATTATACTCATACATACTTTTAGTTGTTATTTGTTTCAAATACGGTTCAGACTCATTAAGTCTCAGCAATTCAGCCCTGATTGAATATATTGGTCATTTAGCCTAAACTTTTAACAAACATTTAACATCCGAAAAGGGTAATAACAAATTTGTACTGAACAACTGTACTCTCTATTAATGAACATCTATTGTAATTAAGTCTGCGTTAGGCAAATATTCTATTTAGTAGTAGATTTTAATTGTTTGTTGAGTTACGATTAATCTATTTCAATTAATTTCGAAACTGATTTGTAGTCTCCATACTACTTCACTTTAGTTATAACTTTGCTCTATAATATTTCCACGAATACAATCCTCGGGTTTTATGCACATAATATGATAGCTAACTGGCGATTTGTCAGAGTGAAGATACTAACGGTACACGGCACCAACAGTAAATTGGATACAATCACGCTAGCCGTTACCGCTTTGGGTCCTTTGTCTCCATCTTATAAAATATGGTATTTTATTCAGTCGTGTGAGTCTGGTGACACATGGAATGGCTTGGGCAATAATTTCTGTTATACATTATTGCACAGACGATTCGAGACAATTTGAGGAAAAGAAGATATCTCACTGTTCGGAGACGTCGTATGGATGTTGTTCGGACGGTTCGACCGCAGCCAGTGGTCCTAATGAGGAAGGGTGTCCAATCACGAGCTCGACTTGCGGTTGTAACCGGCTCGGCTCGGTGTCGGATCGATGCGATGAGGACGGACAGTGTGTTTGTCGGCCCGGTGTGGGCGGCCTCAAGTGTGACCGATGCGAGCCTGGCTACTGGGGACTTCCGAGGATCGGATCCGGCCACACTGGATGTATTCGTACGTATACTTTATTACTTATCGATATTATAAATCATTATATTAATTTTGTAAGTACATGTTAAATTATTAACACAAGGAAAGTCGCACACTATTACATAAGATGTTTTATTTTAGCTTGTGGGTGTTCAGCTTTCGGTTCAGTGAGAGAGGATTGCGAACAAATGACTGGTCGATGTGTTTGCCGAACCGGGGTTCAAGGACAGAAGTGTACTGTGTGTGCCGACCACAGACGCAGATTAGGACCCAACGGGTGTTCCGACCGTAAGTCGTATTTTCTTTTAAAAAACACAAACCCACTCTTCACTGAGATTTAGGGTCCTCATTACAAAGGTACTTACAACAATGCCATGCCTGACCCATGTCAAGATGTTTTCGTATTAACCGTTTTTCTTTTTTGTAGGTAGGTACTTATTTAAGCACGACTGCGTGCATACACTTCGCTTCCTTTCTATTTCCTTAAATCTAAAATACCAAGGTGTACATCAGCAAGAACTTTGTATTTTAACGTTGTTACCATTAAAAAGTATAATTACAGATTTAATTATCCTTCATTGGATCCTCGGGTTCGATTGCCGGATCGGGCAATGTATTGCTGGTTTTTTTTAAATCTCAGCTGTAGCTCGGAGTCTGGAATTGTGCCCGGTATATGGCAATAAGCTCAGTCCCTATTACATGGGACTCATAACATAAATAGTGAAAAGTGGGTGTTACATTGTACAGTGGAATTAAGTACACCTCTGCCTACCGACGTGATGTTATTTATTTATTTATATACGTATGTATTTATCTGCAAAGCGTGAAAATTATGGCAAAACTTCATAGAGGAGGGTCACAGTCACTTGTTACATTTTTATATGCCTCCGCCTATCTCGGCGCTAGACTTAAAAGCTTAATATTACTTATGTGTCGCGGAGAACCTAACGGGTAACCGGGGCTCCGGCTCGACGTGCAGGAGAAGGAACGGGGTGGTTTTTAGTCAGTAAGAGTCCCCCTTCATTAACAAGGTTACCCTAATCAATGGATTAGGGTAACCTTGTTACGCTCCCTGTAGGCTCTGAAAGGAAAATTTTGATTAGGCCGGAAAAGTACTTTTTGTATGCGTAACAAATTTCCAGAACATAGGTAAAAGGCTTTATCTGGTTACGAATTGAAATTGATGCCCTTAATTACCGTGATTAGGGTCTTGAAGCTTACCTATTCTATTCATGTGGATACACACAAAAACATTTTAATTAGGTTGGTTTATTTTATTCGTTTCCTAAATAAAATGTTATTCTGTAGCTGAAACGGGTGGCGTTGTATCATCCTGCGCTGAACTGTCATGTTACTTCGGCGCGGTGTGTACGGAGCGCACTGGAGGCGCGCTGTGCGAGTGCGCAGCGGCTCCATGTTCCGATAGCGACACCAACATGCTGGTGAGTACTACTGTTATTCCTTTCTAGCGTTCTAATAATACCTTACTCATCATGAATATTAATAACCACTGATTTATTATAATTTTGAAGTTCTCCGAGTTACGAACTTGTAGCCAATAAATATTCACATCAGAGAACACGACCTTGTAACTTCGCCAGTGAAACGTAGCTAAGTTTAACCAAAACCAACAGGTATGCGGTAGCGATGGCAAAACTTACGAGTCAGAGTGTCACCTCAAATTGCAAGCGTGTCGCACGCAAGAGGATATAGTGGTGCAAGCGTTTGGTCCTTGCAAGTTGGGCGAGGTGGCTGGTACGGCAGGCCCACCACGGCCATCGTCACCGATACAATTCACACAGCAGGATGACGGCGCAGCTTCCAAATCTACCAGACACCTTCTCAATCCTGACAAATACTATAACAAATATGACTGGACCAGAAAAGAGACGCCAAGTGACTTCGATAGCATCCTATCTGGACAAAAATTCAAAGGTAAATCTTAATTCTGTTTTATTGTTAATCATATGAAAACAAATCATTATTTTCATCAGACTACACCATCCTACAGGAAAATTAAATTGACAAAAGTCGTTAACGATCATTATGGAGTTTATTATAGACCTTCCCGTTTATTTTTAGAACTAACTAACCATTTGTTTATTCATTTCATTGAAATCTGAAACGATCTAATTTCATCACCATTCTTATAAAGCTTTAATCTGTCAGAATAATGGTGGCAGCACTTGGGCAGTTCTTAAGATGATAACTGTTAAAATCAATTAACGTAGTTTTTTCGAATGTTACTACTACAAGTATAAACTAGGGTCACTACCAAAGTCTATCTAGATTCGGATTAGCATATTCACTTTTACTCTTAGCCACAACGGCAACAGTGGGTTCTGGTGCGGTTGGCGCCCTACTGGGCGACTTGTGCGCTGACGATGGCGACTGCGCCGCCCTCCCGGGTGCGGAGTGCGCGCGCGACGCATGTGTGTGTCGCGCAGGGCACGTGCCAACTTTACATAGAAAAGCATGTGTTGGTACGTACTTAGTGTGAAATGTATTTTGTTTTAGTATTTATTGATTTGTTTTTTTTTATGTATTAGTTGATGTAACGAAATTTAAAGAGATTAAGTTCGAGTACCTAACGTTAATGAAATGTACCGTGACAAACTCAAGTCGTAGCGAAAGTAATGTGATTCAAATATAGATATAAAATTATTCAAAACATATAGTGACAAAGTATTGCGAGCTTAATTAACTTATTCATTTTATTCACTACACTATACATACCTTACCTACTCATACATTACATATTCAAGACATAAACTTACACTAATATAATTTTCATAACGTATACAACGCGGCCATTACCATACTTTCAGTTAATACGGCACATTTCTAGGTTTAATTTCAAAGTAAGTAGCTCTTTCTCACGTAATTATAAACTTGACAAGTTGGAGTGGGTTGTCTGTCCGTTCGCGAACATTCTCACATGAAGCCTTATCTCACCAAGTCATGTGACTTGGAACGCAAACTCTGTTCCTGATTAGCACTTTCTTAGGACGATAAGTGCCGCATGACTGGCCTCATTTACTCCAACTGTAATCCGCTAAAATAATATATAGATTTGTCAAACTCATGACGACTAATTACGAGATAATCTGCTTAGCATTAGTCCATTTCACTGATTTCTCTGTCTGTGCCAAGAATAGAAATATGTTAGGAAGGTTCGAATGGCTTTTCACCTTGGCAAAAATAATAATTGTACAACATATATTATTATTAGGATCATTTATCAGTTTATTCAGTCAGTAGTTATTATTTTATGTTTAGTGGTAGTCTTGTAATGTATTTATGTCATTGTGTTTATTTCAATGCTTCTTAAACATTTCACAGAACAAATTCCACAAGAGACCACAGAAGAATATAGCGCTTGCTTATCAGAGCCATGTTACAATCTCGGTACATGTATTGATTTGCCTGGATCCACTTACACGTGCTTGTGTGCCGGCCCTTATACAGGATTGAACTGTGAGTCCCTCGCAAAGGACGGACTTCTGGCCACCTACATAGAGACTCCTTCCTTCGACGGCACTTCTTATATAAGACTAAAACCCTTGAAAGCTTACCACAAGTTGAATATCGATATTGAATTTAAAGCCTTTTCCGAGAACGGCGTCATATTGTACAATCAGCAAAAACCTGACGGCACGGGTGATTTTGTTTCGCTCGCCTTAGTCAACGGATATTTAGAGTTTAGGTAAGCAATATTTCCCTGCATCACTCTAGATGTAATAAAATGCAAAGATTATTGGATTCGATAAAACGGCGAACTGCTTTTGGATATCGTTTACAATTTAATCTCATTCTCGATACAGGTATAATCTTGGAAACGGAGTGTTAATACTTACTTCACTAGAGAAGATAACATTAAACGAGTATCACAAGGTGTCTGCGAAGCGATACCATCGAGACGGGATTTTATCAGTCGACGATATGGAAGACGTGGTCGGCCAATCTAGTGGCCATTTAAAAGCGCTGGATTTGAATGAAGACGCTTATATCGGGAGCGTGCCGACTAACTTTTCTAGGTAACTTGAGTGTTTCATTACTTCGATATTGATGTAACTTTTCCAATAATAAGATATTATATTCTTTCTTAATAAGCAATAAGTAATTAATGAATGTCTCCATACAGAGTCTTCGATAATATTGGCACTCGGCACAGCTTTATCGGTTGCGTAAAATACTTGAGGATAATACGTCATCAAGTGACAAAGAAATTGGGCCGTCCGGATTCATTAGTCGTTGCTATAGAAAACGTACAGGAGTGCCAATCCAACCCATGTATGAGTATGCCGTGCAAGAATGGTGCCACGTGTAAATCTATAGACGGGTCGGCGACCGAATATACTTGTAGCTGCCCTATCGGATTTCAAGGAGCCAATTGTGACGAGAGATTAGATCCGTGCGAGTCGAATCCCTGCGGATATGATGAGGGGCTATTGTGTGACATCGGGACGGACGGCGGACACGTTTGCCGTTGTTTGTTTGGAGGTGAAATTGGCTCCAATGGAAACACTTGCAATAATGGTAAGCCTTATTTATCACTTCCTTAACAAACAATACAGCCTTGCACTTAAGATACCTTTATCTAGCGAAATTTATATTGCAACTATTCCATGCTCAATTTGTTCACAGACGTAAATGTGGTACAAGAAACCTGGTCCCCTCAATTCAACGGGACGAGCTACATTGAATTGCCGCCACTTGAAGGGCTGGGCAAAGCGTTCCGCATTGAAATTTGGTTTTTAACGAACCGATTTTCCGGAATGCTCCTTTATACTGGCCAGTCTAATAAAGCCAAGGGGGATTTTATAGCGATTAACCTGGTTAATGGTTACCTTCAGTTTAGATACAATTTGGGGAGCGGTATTGCTAATATAACGTAAGTACCGTGTTTTAATTTAGGGATGAATTTATTTTACATGGAAAGCTAAACGTCCTGAATATTTTTAATGGTTGTTGATGATCTGTAGCGATATTTTTTTATTTTATGAAGGTCGCCAGTCCCGATAACAAAGGGTCGTTGGCATCGAGCGCGGGTGTCCCGTTCAGGTCGGCATGGTAGTCTACAGTTAGACCACCATCCCACACAGAGAGGACACTCTTTTCCTCCATTGACACATTTGGAACTGACTCTACCCTTGTTCATTGGATCGCTACCGTGAGTATTATTGTCAAAATTATTAACTGTATCTTTGTGTTTGGAGCAAATGCGTTGATATTATGATTTGTAAGGCCACTCGCCTAATACGAAAACCATGTCTTATTTTGTACCCGAACATGACATTCACAATCACAACCACTCCACTCAGCGAGGCATTTTGCCAAAAATACAATAAAATAGTTCCAAAGTTGTGCTGTTTCATCCTGACTATTATTTCAATCGAAATCTCTTTCCTCAGCTCTTACATTCGTCCGCACAAGATGTCAGGCGTGACCAGCAGTTTCATAGGCTCGGTGCAACAGGTCTTTGTGAATGGCAAACCTTTGTCTTTGTATGGGGCTGATACGGCTAAGTGTACTATAGTGCAGGATGAAGATCGTCTCCCTTGTGCCACTACTGGGGTCACTCGGTACACTGGGCCGCCTTGTGGAGAGGGTAAGTCTTGTGAATAAGATATGTAGCTACTGTTGTTTTGAATAAATATATCGATGCTAATTGAATGGATATATGTGGTAATCAGAAAAGTTAAATTGAAATGTATTGCTAGATTGTTTGTGCAATAATATTGACAAATGTCTCAACATTATTATGAAAACAAATTATAAGTGAGCGTTACACGGAAGTTAGGCTATTTGAGAAAATTTCTTATTCAGTTCAATGGTACATTTTTATACAAAGCTAAAGGTGACGTCATCATTTTACCTTCGCCATCAATTAAAGAAAAGGCTTGATGCTATACGTACATGTTACAAATAGAGGTTATTCAAATGTTTCATAATTAACAAAAGGAACAAATTATACCTTTTCGCTTAGCTTATGTACTTTTCTTTTTATTTCGATTTTATATTATCGAAGTATTGTTTTAATTAAGAGCATTCTTCATTTGCTTGTTAGTATAACATTTTTTTTCGTGTAATTAATTACAGACTGATATTTAATGTATCTTTACTTGCGTTTATTAAAGAATTCTTGTTCGTTTCACTTTATTACTCTGCTTGCACAAGAAAGCACGAACAGAGGGTAACTTTTTACAGCGCCGTTTTTACGCAGACTAAAAGTGGAATTCATTTATAGTTTTTCCCCGTAAATGCTACCAACTAACCATATTAAATAAAAGTATAAATAAAATAAAATAATATGCTTTTAGTGTACAATTTTCATGAGGTATTAACCACTAAACTTATTCGTCGTTTAGATCTAACGCCATGCAAAAACAATGGTTCCTGTATACCCCTCCTCAACGAATACAAGTGCACTTGTCGAGACGGGTACCAAGGCAGGAACTGTGAGATTCAGATCAATGTTGAAATGCTTAACGAGAGGACACCAGTCAACTTTGATGGAAACAACTACTTCTCCTATCGAAGCAGGGGCAGTCGCAGGTGAGCATAAATATAGTGAATAATCATCTACGAGAAATTCCCTTATATGCAAAGTTTGTGTTACTTAACAAAACTTACCTCAGACACAATAATGCAGAGTCATAAATTGTACAGTTTATGAATATGGTTGTCTTGACTTTCTTGTCTAACTTACTTACATTCGTTATTTTATAAGGGTTTTATTGCTAAATCTACTAATAATGTCTTCGGTTTTATTTTAATTTGTGAAAGACACGATATCTAAAACTGTCATCGGCAAACAATATCCCGATGTTTATGCTAATTCATGTTAATTGTAACTGATACTAATTTTCTATCTTTTTAGCTTACATACTAACACAGACGTCGGTGAGGGACACTACGGTGTAAGATAACATTTGAAGGAATCAGCAATAATATATTAGTCGTATAACGTCACAGCAGTTAGTTTAGGTAAAACATTATATACTTATATTTAATATCGCCTCGTAGTTGTAGTGAAAGTGGGGACATTTAGAAGTCGTGTGGTTTCAGAAACATGAATAGTTAATGGCGACACGTGGAAATTTCTCCACTTAAAGTATAATTTGAATAGTTGGCTGAATTTAATGACACTTAATACCACCGTTTGTTTATATGTTATAAGCGTCGCTTTTATTCCTTCCTTTTGTGTAGTTTTATTGCGTTATTTATTCATTTATTAATATCGTATAACTTTTTTGATTGCGTTTAATGTTAGTACGTTTTTGGTTCAATTAAACATACCATGGTAAACAAATATGTCAAAGAAAGATAAAGGAGCGTCAACAATTTATTTATCTTTCTGTGAACTTTTGTCAAATTACTTGGACTTTTATGAAAGACTTTTGAGCAAAGTTTGCGCAGTTTCGTATTCGTATTTGTCCAGAGTTGATAGTAAAGTGCCGTAATAATGTGCTTCAACAAGCTTCCTTGGCCTCCGCTCCGAATGTATAAATTCGCAGGAAGTCAAATAAGTTACACCGAAGTTTACGTATTTACATAAACACGTTAACGTAACAACGTACATTGTAAATACTGCTTCACGATAGTGTCTTTGTGTGCTCACTCAGCTGTTTTATTTGTTCTTCTACTTATTTGCATCTTGAAATTACCAGAACTTTTCTTATTTGTCAGTTGTTTGTGTACATTTTGAACTAATTTTGTAACTTAACGTAACTATACAATATAAGACACATTTGGGTGTCTGTGAAATTAATGATCAATTATTTATAAGTTTTACGACGAATATCTAATTATTTCAGTCAAAGCGATACTTATTTTCTTGTAACTACTTATAGATCTCATTAACATTAACTTTTACTGAGAAATAAACAAATCATTCCTTGTTATCTCGCCCACGTCACTAAAGATTCTTGAAAGTTCTTTAACAAATATTTATTCTACGGTAACTACAAAGCGAACGTGCTTTTAAGGATATTTGGGCTAAAGGAATGTTTGTACTTAACATGCGCCTAAAAATACATAGAGGACGAGTAATCAGGAGCGGGTCTCTGTTCCCACGATTAGTTATGAAACGGGAAAACTGAACCAAAATCCATTTAGCAACTTCCGAGCTAGTTTTAGACTAATCTCGAAAATTACCGACTAGCTGCGGAGCATACAGATTGGCAAATAGATGCGGGAACTTGCGCTATCATGAAGCGATAGACTTTATTAGGTAATAGGTTTAACTAGTTTCATAGCCGCAGCGTCAAATAAATACCAAAGTATATTTGGACCTACTATATTGAATTGCCTAAATTGGAGACCCAAAACGGGTGCCCTAATAAATAAGGTCTTTCATCGCAATCTAATTTTCCAACTGATAGGTCTATTGAACTTGCCGAGGTAGCAAAAGCGAGATTTTAATTCCGTAGGCCATATAAAAGGAGCTCTTACAGGTACTCTGATATATTGTCTACTTGTGCTCTCCTTGCCGATCGGTATAAATAGAACCTAAAGAGCAAAACGAGTAAATATAAAAGTAAATAAAGTAATCGACGTTTTTGGTAATGGATGGGTAGAAATTGTTAATAATATGGGATACAGAGGTGGAGTATCTTTTTATTTATGTTTTTATAATTGAACCCTTACTATTCATCGAATAGGAACTCTATATTTAATCACTCTAACAAAATGTGGAGGCATCTCATTTGTCTAATATTTTTTTACTCATACAAAGCATGCACTAATTTCATTACTCGCTCAGCAATTAGATTAGAGCTAACAATAAAGACAACTCGTTACACAATATTAAACAATATCAACTATTTTAGGAACAGCGGCTCCCGCGGTATTAGATATGAAATAAAGTTCCGAACATACAACGACTCTGGGCTCCTAATGTGGAGAAGAAAAATCGGTATACGGCCTCGAGACTTCATCGGTCTAGGTTTGAGTGACGGGAAACTGCAGCTTATATACACGGACACTGATATAAAGGAGATGAACTTGGCGACACACGAGGACTGGTTCCAAAATATAGAGTCCAAAGCCAGGGTTGACGACGGCCGGTGGCACACCGCCACGGTTCGCAGAAGGAAGAGGCTGGCCATGCTTCAAGTCGACGACAAACCGGCTGTTAGAGGGTACTCACAGTCACTGCTAGTGCCCTCGAAAGCAAACCCCAAGCTGTGGATTGGTATGTAAACCTTTGTTTTACATTTAATTCTTCCAATCTGTATTTATACTCAAATTAATTTATCACTATAGTCATTTAACGATAAAAACCCCATCTTTTGATTTATTTCCAATACGTTAACAGATAAAACAAATATTATTGGACGTTTGTATGCAGAAGGAATTAAAACGATGAATTGTTTTATACGTTTTATCTCTTGATTGGTTTTCCATATAAAATTGTTATGTTGAATTACTTTTTGTGTACATAGGGGGTTCTCCGTCGCTGCCCCTGGGTTTGCCCGCTGCCCTGTACACGGGGCTCCGCGGCTGTGTCGCCAGTGTGAAGGCAAACGGACGGCATATTGATCTCAGCGCACCCATACGACCCACGACCGCGGTACGACATTGCGACTGACGATACGACTAAGTCGTGCGACCCACGCACGATGGTCAACGTAAAATGCCAAGTGGATTGTGAGATTTAAAAAAGTATTATTTTGTAACTGTTGTGTTGAATAGTGTTTTAAAGTACCTGTCTAATAATGTACCTACCGATACATATCCGTTTCAATATTGTGTTCGTATTGTTTCAAGTTAACAGCTATTTGAAGAGTCCATGAAAATATCTCTAAAGAGATAAAGTGTCATATCACCTCGTATCAAAAGTATTTATATATTTTACCAAAAGAGTGCGTTGCCATAATACGTTATGTTCTAGTTGTAGATTGAATAGTTACTATATCAATTATTCTCTTTTTTAAATCGGTGCTCGGATTACACATCAGAGGTATAATGAAAAAAATGAAATAATTAATATGCGAAAGTACTGAATTATTAAAAAAGACTCTTGATATTTTGTTGTTAAAATTAGCAGAAATATATAATCTAGTTGATAGATTAGTCAGTAAAACTTAAGCATAGTTTCTATTATATGTGAGAGCAAAATATCATGTGAAAAATTATAAAAAGTTTGTAAAACTTTATTCGTGTAGAGAATTATGATGATCGGGCTCTAATGGCGACATTCCAGCTCCCTGTCTCGATGACAAATAATGTAATGTATCAACAATAAGCAATCGTAAATTAATATTTTGACTAACGTTTTCTGACTCTTTTTATTTGATAATGAGATTATCATTTTGATTCCACTTTGCCATTCCTTTATAAATGTGAAGTATATTTAGCAATTATTTATAAATAACAGTGCCATAGTAATTGTACAGTAGCTGATTTAGGGATTTTATATACTCAGTGTTTTGAAGCATAATAATAAATAGGTTGTGTTCGTATTTTCCTTTCGTATTAAAATAGTATTTATTTCTAGCATATTTGTGTTGTCATTGCAGTGAACATTTTTTACTGATATCGCATTATTTCCAGGGTATGAGTATTACTTATAAATTACATATTTAGTTTAAGATTTTATAGAACAAATATTATGAATCTCGTTCAGATCAATATGAAATAATGCAGTCTTTAATTAATAGACATTTGAATTTTCCGTGCCATACTTTATAAGTGCATCTATTAATTTACTCTCAAATTACATAATTATAATGGTGTATGTGATTCATTGTGTTAATTTTTAAGTTACGTAATATCATTTCCAATATCACCTGAGATTATTTTAGTATTTTAATCTTAGTACTGACGTTTGTAATATATGTACATAAATATAGACTAGAATTTTTTTACAAGCCGCTTAACTGTTTTATCGAGATGTGTAATAAATGTTACGAAATGTCCGTTATCCTAGATTATGAATTCCAAGTAAGTCTGCGACTCTGTAAGTTCATCGGAACTACGCTCTAAGCAAATCCCTCGAGGGTTAATGTTCCCAGCAGTAGGTATGAATGTCACGACTTCACGAGCCTCACACAAACTTTGGACACACTTGACCCCCAATTGTGACTCAATCTCCATAGAGTAACATTGTACTTCTGTTCGAATATTCTAGAACATGCTGACGTATGTAATCGATCTTCCTAACTTTAAGAAACATTCATTACTCTTGCTGCAATCAATTAAATAAGGCCGGCTGTAGGCTAGTTATGTTATGAACTAATAAATAACGAATTTCAATTTTATTTCTAAGCCTGTACATTTTAAAGTAACTACATACGTAATGTTATGTATAGAAAATTGGTATCATAGTCTAGAATCAATTACCTAAGGTAACTTTTAGTTTTTCTTTTCATGTTGTGCTAACGCAAAACTACGCTCTTTGACTAAAAGCTAAGTTCGTTTTTCTACATTTCGTCTAGCGAACTACTTGTAAAGTATTATAATTAATACTAATTAAATTAAAACAATGACAATATTAAAATATATATATCAAAATGGCATTTAGAGCTACGTTTTTCGTGTTAGACATGCTTTGTGATCGATCGAGACACAATTCACTTTTTAGATGATATTTAGAACAACCCTAGTGTTGTTAATTCGGATTAATTTGATATAGTAATGAACGAGTATATTCCTCTATTGTACTTAGTATAACGTACTTAATTACAAGAATAAAATATATTAGAAGAGTATTCATATCCGAATGAACAACAGTTAGGGTTTTCAGCAATAACCTAAGTTTAGGTACAATATTGTCACTGGTTCGTACATATCTTCCAGTCCAGTTTGTTACGCAATGTGTGTTTGATGTAACTATCTTAGTTTAATAAATACAAAACCATAAAATAAAATGAGACTGCAATCCGTAATAATGTGTTTATTTCGAACCCTTCTCGACGTAAGTGGTCCTAGAAAAATATGAGCAAACATCCTCGAGTGTTGACATTACCGAGAAAAAATGTTCTATCGAATGAAAAGAAAATGATGGGGCATCATCGGAAATATTTAACGATATCAGAGAAATGAATTTATAGGTTATCGATAATGCTGAATCGATTTACGATGTGAGTCATTCAGCTAGAATTAACAAAGGGGAAGGTTCAAGACGAATACCAAAATAGCTATCGGTATTCAAGCATTTTCACAGTACTGATGAAGCGCAAGCTAAGCTCGTAAAACCCTGAGGACGTGTCTTATCAAATTCTTGATCGGAATTTATGGATAATAAATTAGTTAACTGTTTAGCCAACCGTGCCCTTGTAGCGATGGGGCTTTAGGTGCCGCGAATATTACTAATGGCCTTCAAACACGAAAGCTTTTAATTTAATGATATAGACAATTGTGGGACTGGCCACTAGCCGCTAGTTTATACAATGTACAGACAACTGCTGATAGCTATTAGGCGATTGGATTGATGAGTGGATCTTGTTTACTTATGTTTCGACAAGCCCGCCTGATTGTTTTATTGACCGATGGCGTAATACTAGCATTGAAAATGGAGCAAGATAACTATCATAAGCTACCATTAAAAATAAGTGTAAAAGAAATATTCCAAGTATACATCTCGAAAATACTGGTACTGAGCATGAGATCTTGGGTTACTTTAGAGGGTGGGTAGCAAAGTGGCAGAACAATCAACTCATGGTAAGCAAGCAGTGCCGCCCGTGGACACCTACAACACCAGAGGAGTTATATGTAACTTACCAGCCTTTTAGAGATTGAAGGATTGGAGATCGATTTCTCTAACTGCAACAAAGGGGACATCTCGAGGACTGAATGAAACTTATTTCAGTGGTTTTGTTGTTGATAGCAATATAACATTTTAAGTATACTGTAATAAATAGGTGTTTTTATGATTTCAATAGTACCTATCCTATTAATTTCTCAGAACCAGATTATGAATTTCCTGAAATAAATAAAAGCTTATAAAAGAGGAAATCACATTATTTTGTTTACCAATTCATGTCAAAGATCACAAGAGATTACAAATTGAAGAACATTAATCGACAAATAAAATATGAATGTTTATACCTACTATTATTTGTTCAAGTAGAGCAAACATTAATATTATTTAGATGAATACATTTTATTTATATGTCCACTAGGATTTGTGTAAGCACATTGTAAATAACGTCAACACCTTTATTTGCTTTGATTATTTGTTAAATTTACTATTTGGTGAGCTATAACCGAGTTTAGGATCACATAAATTCGGCAAGTACCGGAGGTATCAACATTTCTTTATTTATTTGACAATAGTGCGTAATATACGACGGCATAAAAAGGCGAAGCAAACAGATTGATATATCATCCTCTACACAGACCCGCCTCTAATCTCAACTAGCCTGAATTATGGTGTAGAAAATATCCTCTCATTCTTTGCATAAGCCATAAATCACGTGAGCCACCGGAATCCCTGGAGGCATTATGAACGAGGAAAATAAGCAATAGGTAGATATTAACCAAAAAGTGAAACGCCGCTTAGGGTGGATTTCAGAGATATGTGAGAAAGAAAACAGACTCGCCCAGACGCAATTTAAGTAAACGCCGCGAACATTCACACGTTTTACCTAATCTGCCATTAGATTTGAGGATAATACACAAATAAAACGATTCCAAACTAACAAAACAAAAATGAAAATTCACAAAACAAAACTTCAAAAACAAGTAACTCCTTCGAGACGTAATACGAAAGTAGTAAAACTAAATTGAGTTTTCTACCAATCTATATATTACATGAGAGTATTTCAGCTCATTACATTTTCATTTAGTTTCTTTCAACTTTTGTCCCTCGATACAATCAGAAAATCGGGTACACATTTATTTATTCCCAGAAGTTTCAAGTTTATTAAGGTTAAAAGTATGGGCATACGAAAAAAAGCAATAAAAGGTAACGAAATGGAATCATAAAAACATCGCGTGTTCGGCGCAAGCGTTTTATCACTTTATTAAATGTTTGGGTCGTTGGTGCAGGTACAAAGCTTTCCTAGGTGTAAAAGAAGTTTGTTCCAGCATGTTACAAGCCCGCTGTTGCATGATGAGGAGCAATAATCGCAACTTTATTGCACTTGCATCGGCTAATTTAAAACATCTACACTAGACGTTAATTGTATGAACAATTCTATTCACATTTTGCTTTCCTAGTACTTGTAGATTTACCTGTTAATTTACAGAGGTTTGTGTAGAAAACACGGTGCAATATCTCCATAGGGGTGGTAAATTCAAAGACGTGTTGCTGCCAATAAGTCTGATTTATTATTGCCAAATTTCCTTATATTCAATAACCATACAACACTAAAGTACTTAAAACTATTCGCTGATTAAGCGCAACGTACCTTATTGTTTCTCAATCAACCTTGAGTTACAAAAGATGTTCTTATGTCCTTACAACGGCTTAAAAATAACTATAACTAGAAAAGATTAAAAGAATTGTTATTTTGCAGTAAATTAAACATGGTTATTTTTAGCACGCAACTTGCTTGTCGTGATCATGAACAACGTGATATTTCTAACATAATTTGTCTTGGCATAAATTTTTATTAATGTACCACTACAAAAGAAAAGTTTTTAAAAAACTCCTTTTGAAATAGCAAAAGTGAAAGCTTCAACGCAGACTTTTATATTGCCTAGGGGATTAGATCCTAGAGAGTAAATTGTTCTACGCAGTGGTGAATTTTCAGTTGAACATTTTCACAGTGAAAGCTTGGCACTCGATGCATGCACGTTACGCCAGTGATTCATATCCGGCATGATTTGTCGCACCCCTATCGGCGTTGTCATGGTTTGGTAAATACTGTGTCAACTGCGATGCAATTGATAAATAAATCAAAACATTACCTACTAGATTAATTAGCGTGGACAGCAGGAATCGTTAAAATATGTAAATTCGTATTTATTTTGCGCCCACATGTATTACGTAAATCTTTATTTATTTTAGTTTGTGCTTACGTACAGTCCCTAACAAAATAGATACAAAAATTTTATATTGAAATACTGGATGTATTTGAGGCGGAGAAATAATAATTCCATAGTAGAGCGATGAAATAAAACTGTGAAGTGCTTTTGTATGGTTCACTATGATGCACGTATTTTTCTTTCAATCGTGTATAAATAAGGCTAAGGTGAACATGAAAGTATACAGATTCCCACCGTCTCTTGGGATTTGTATCTCGTCTTCCCGCAGCGAGAGACGTGTCCTGAATACGTATCCGATTCTTGGTGATACGCGCCACCCGGCAAACGTTTGAGAACTCGGTGAAAGAAATCCAAACGTAGCTGTGGACATATCTGTACGACAGTCTCTGTGTCTCACGCGAATGATACACACTACGTGGTGCATATCCAATGAACAATTCTGTGTATAACTTCACAATTCACAATGTTTTTATTTATCTGATGACGTTGTTTTGATTTTTTTTTCTATTAGAATGAATTTTCTGTTGTACCAGCAACTAGACCGTAAATACAAAAAACAATTAGGTAATTTATTTTAAGTCACAACTGGTTAAATAACAATACTTTTACATAGTTAAATATATACAATATAATACAATTTTTTCGCAACGCATTGGTGAGTGTAAAGCGATTTCGCAGCGTGTTGGCTCGCAATCTAGAATTTTATCAAACGTTCTTATTATGTAGACTTTTGACTTTCTTATAAGACCTACAGATAAGTTTGGTAATTATGATTGGACAAGGACACTTGTGGACTCTGTTGGTACCGATTGAGCAAAAATTACGAAAAATATATATTAAAATTTTCAAGACAAAATAAACTATATTAAGTTAAGTTCTTATGAATAACATATTCTTTATTATTCTTTATTATTTTTACATTAGGTGAAATGTCTTCTATAACCTCATACGGTCCAATATAAATATTATCTAATTTTGTACCTGTTTGATTTTTTATTAAAATAAGATCACCTTTTTTATAATGGATAGGAGACGAGTTTTTATCGTAAATATTTTTCCTTAAAAGTTTACATTGTAAAAGATTATTCCTTGCATTACAATGAGCTTTTTGTAGCCTATATTTAAGTTCTAAGGGATAGCTATCAAAATTATACAATGGATCAAAACTACTTTGTAAGTTACTTGGCAGATTACATAATTTTCCGAATACTAATTCATATGGAGTGTACTTTGTTGCTGAATGTACTGTGGTATTATACGAAAAACACCAAAAGTGTACCCAGTCAGACCAATCGCCTTTATTATTATTACATTGTATTCTAAGAAAAGCACCTAAATGCTTATGTGAGTTTTCAAGGGATCCTAAAGTTTCATGGTGATATGGTGTTGAATTTAATTTTTGAATTCCTAATATTTGACAACATTCTTTTAAAACTGACGACATAAACTCACTGCCGTTGTCTGTTAAAATTTCTCGTGGTATACCATATCGTAGGATAAAATTATTTACGAACGTCCTAGATACTGTAACAGTATCCTTATGTTGAATAGGGTACGCTTCAACAAACTTAGACAAATCACACTGAATGGTCAAAATATACTTATTATTATAATTATCTACATCTAGGGGGCCCATTAAATCTAAAGTTATCCTCTCAAAAGCTGAACTAGGCGTAGATGTTATAGTCATTGGTTCCTTAACATTTTTATTAGTATGCTTTTGTAGTTGACAACTTTTACATTTTTTTACATACCTTATTACGTCACTACACATACCTGGCCAGAAATAGTATCTTTTCATATTACTGAGCATACGATTCATACCCGCATGGCCACTGCTGGGTAATAAATGAAAATCATTTAAAATAACTTTCTTTTTGTTATCATTACATATTTTTGTAACACCTTTTATTACAAGAAAACGAGGTAAATTAACTTGCAAGTTCTTTGTTTT